GGGGGGGGGGGGGGGGGGGGGATTTTAGGATCCACACAACAGGGAACCCTAACTCATGGGTAACCTCAAAAATTAGGATCCTGATTGTACGGAGCTGGAAACAGGACACGGTCAGTTTTTCAAAGCCCTCAGCAGGGGTTTTGATTCGCAAGGAATCCCCACTGTCCCACGATGCACTTCAACTACCGCTACTTCGAGACGGAGACAGGACAGTGGCAGCTCGGCCAAACGTTTTCAAGTCCCCAGACTTTGAGCCCATGCGCGCTGATAAACGAATTCTCAAGCCTCCCTAAATCCAGCCCTAAAGGCGCAGATGAAGCGGAGCCGAGGTGGTTTGGTGGTGGGACGGACATCACTCCCTCCTACTTGGCGACTTGGGCATTGTAGTCGAATACTCAGGCTTTCGAGGATTGAATCAGACAGCGCCTACAAACCCAAACCCAACAAGAGTGCATGCGAATGCTTCGAACGCTCACTCTCCGAAACCCTGGAGGCACTGCAGCCCTGAAGCCCTAACCGAGGACAAGGATGACATGAAGCATTTCCACGGCACCTACAAGGCTTCGTTCTACTTAGACCACTTGAATGCTTGGTGTCGACCTTTTCTGCAATTGATAAGAAGTCATTCGGTGGGCTGCTGGGGATTCAACAGTCAGGACGTGCAGCCTGAAGCCTTTGTGAACTTTCCGTGAAATCAGGGGTTGTGGGCTTATGGCTTTCGGATTGCGGGGTTTAGGGCAACTGGGTCAGGGTTAATGGGTTCAGGCTTGTCGGGTTGCGGGTGCAACCGGCATAATTGGAAGTTGTCGGTGTCGCCTCACCGTGGCAGCCTTCGAAGCACTTCGATGTGCAGGATGTTTGCGACAAGTACGACCCCGAGTGGTACAGCAAGTTCAAGAAACTCTGGCAGCAGCTCCAGGGGTTGACGCCGGTTCCCAAACTTCTCTGAACCGCAAGCCCGAAGCTTGACATCGCTCCACACAGACCCCCCCCCTCCGTTCCCCTTCAACACTCAGGATTAGAGTGGATATGCTAAGCTGTGGACTTCCCTGCAGCCTAGCATTGTGCAGAGCTCTTTTTAAGTTTCGGGCCACAGGTGCTTGCTCCAGCTTAGTGTTCCAGTTCTTATGCCTCAACATGAAATCCAACCATGAGCCGTGAAACGGCTAGCAATCTTGTACAACCCATGTCGCGACTGCTGCTCAAGAAAGCTCCCGCTTTCGGTCCCGATGAGTCTTTGTATCATGCAAGTGAAAAGAGCGGAACTAATTCTGGAATACATATCCCACGCCCCATTATGCATCACGCGAGTCAAGGGAGGCCTCTATCAAGGCTTTAGCACAACTCTCACGAAGATTAGAGAAGGAAATGGGCCGACGAGTACTTCCTCATCCAGCATCGCCAGGCTCTGATTTGTTTTCGGGATGCTCTAGTTGTACCAAGAGCACACTGCGCCCCAAAATCCGTAGCCTATGAAGGTCCAAGTACTACGGTTTGGGCCTCTGGGCCCCTCTACACCCCTAGGGTTTGCTCTGCCGGCCGCCTCGGCAAGCAAGCGTCTGAGCAGGTGATACATCTTAAACCTTACAGGCACACATCCAAAGGGCAATGGCCAAGGTTCAGGATTAGATTTCGGGACCGCTGTGCCATGCACCTGTCGCTGTTGTTTCGTCAACCCTTGGAACACCTGACCCTACTCAAACGCCCCGGATCCGCGAAGCCCGGGAGCCCGAAGCCAGGAGACCCGTGGCCTCGGTGGCATCTTCTTTGACGACTTCAACACGGAGGCAAAGGCTAAAGCCTTAAGGAGTCATGGTCCTGGTGTTTTTAGGGCTCAGGGTATTCCAGGCCATTCGCTTTAGGCTCCAGGTATAAAAATAGGCTTGCCTTTAGGTTTTGGGGAGGCTCGAGCTGTGCAAGATCCTTCCAGGAAAACACAGAATGCATGTTCGTAGCTTTGCTGCTTCTGTGGTTCAGAGCTAAGGTCTTGAAGGTTGAGGGCTTCCGGCTGCAATTTTTGGTGTTCAAGGATGTTCCCACGAACCCTTCCGAAATCAGCGGCATTCTTTTTTTTGGAGGATCCCGAGACGCACCTGAAGTTCTCCACCGACTGCGTAAACTCAGTCGTCAAGGCCGGCGCTATGCTCCGGCTTTCTATGGGTCCTGTACCTGGGGAGTTCCATATGCGGGATGTGGAAGGCCTTGTGGTTGCGAGTTTGGGTTCGGGATCTGCCTTATGCATGTCCCAAGCTTCTAGGTTGGCTTTAACCCAATGTCCACGAACGCGCGAGAGTCTAAGAGCCAAAGTCGATAGGCACACCTTCCTTCGTCTGCAGGCCTATGTGCCAATTCTCGAGAAGAACAAGGACACCCGTGGCTGAAACCGGGCTTTCGAGTTCATGACTCGAGGCTTTTCGGTGTGAGCCTATCATGCTACAGCTGTGGGAGGCTATTGTATGGTTGCAGACCCCCCACCCTGGGACCGATAAACGACAACCCGACAGGACAAGGAATACACCGAGGAGCAGAAGCAGTGGCAGTTGGTCCGACGGGGTCGCTACGCGCCTTGGGTTACTTAGAACCGTCCGTCAGCTTCGGGTTTTTTCGGGAGCTTTGGGGTTTGGATGTTGGCGGTTTCAAATCAGGGTCCAAGGCACGTTTGTCGCTGGTTTAGTGTTCATGGGTGGTTCAGGGCTTGTGGCCTAAAGAATAGGCTTCTGGTACTCCGCGTCTCGGATCTGACTTCAGGGTGCCCAGTCCCAGGCTTGTGGTAGCTAAAGAAGGATGCCCTACATTGCCAAGGCTTTTCGGCTGTAAATCGAACTTGAGGCTTCAAAGTTCCTGGCTTCGGGTCTTGAAACTTTCGACACTTGGACCTTGAGCCACAACGCCTTAAACCGTAGCCTTCACTGCAGGTTGCATCAGCCGGGCTCAACTTTGCATCTGCGCTCCTGAAAGCCTCCCCCAGCCACCACCAACCCCCGCTATAGTGTCAGAGATTGATTTTTGGTAGAAGCCTGTTCAACAAGCGACAAAGATCGGATGCGGCTTGTGAGCTTTGGGGCACCGGATGCCTTGGGTGATGTTTCACAGGTCACAGGTCGCTTAGAACATGCAACTCGGTGAATGCGGGGTCTGTGCTTCGTTATCCCCGGGAGGTCGAATTCAACCTCGTGTACGACCGCGGCACCGTCTTCGGACTCAAGATGCTCAGCAGTGGCGTAGGCCGCATTGCGACTGGGACTGCCTTGGAAGATCCGGGTTTCTTTCCAACTCGTGTTTTCAAGCAGCTCCGACTAGATACCCTTGGAGGGAGCCCCAACATAGACCAGCCTACATCTGCTGGCTTAAGTTTCTGTGCAGGCTTTCGGACTCTCGGATGGAGAGTTGTAGGTTGTCGAGGATGCAGTTTTGATGCTGTGGCTTAGACTGTCAACCGACGCAAGACAAACCACTCGTCTCCGAATAGAGGCGATGCGTGAAGACACTCTGGCCCTCACCAAGCCATGAAGCCCGAATCCTCGGGAAAGCACGCCGAACACTCGACGTAACACCCGAAACGCTAGGATTCACGGATTCGGATGTAGCGCTCCCACAAGGAAAGCATCTTGATGTCCTTGCCAGAGAATGCCAAGTGGCTCTACGCCCATGAGCCCGAGGAAGGCTCTCCAGAGGCGGAGATTATGGAGGCTTTTAAGACTCCGCAGGAATGGGTGTGATCCCTTTCTCTCTGACCGACTAGGTCTGAGAGATGTTTTTTTGTGATGAACGTTTTTGGGGGGTTGAATCTAGGGATTGTTGAGCTTTAGAGGAAGTGAAAACAACCTAGGGCCAAGGGTTTGGGCTCACAAGAGAGTTGTGTAGGCTGCTTGCGGCTTTTCGCTTCGACCAGGACAAGACCCCGGAACCCCGAAAGCCGAACGCCTGACACTCTGAATACGAAGCCTCAAATTCCAAACCCCACAAAGCCCTTAGTCCCAAGCCCAAAAAAAGCCTTTCCCGGTCAAGCCCAAAAGCCACCAGCACTGCTTTTGCTTAGGGCCGGCTGTGCTTTGAAGATTCGTCGAGATCCGTCGTGCCTGAGTCAGAAAAGGGATGAGCAGAGTTTAGGGTGTGTGCTGGCTGTGGAGGTTGGTGTGGTCTCTTGCTTCTTCATTTGATAGTAATAGTACTCGATCGATTCAGCCTTGGTGCTTTGAGCCTTACGTCTTCTGGTGGGACCAGCGATGCAGATTTGCCGATGAGCCCAGCAGTAGTGGTGGTGACCATATTGCCATGTCGGAACAGTAGCCTAGTATCTGGGCACCCTGGCTTCTAAGGTTGTGGGATTGTGTGCAAAGCCCGGTTTAGAGCTTCGGGGTTTCGGAGTCTAGGGTGGTTTGAGGTTGTGAGGTTCATAACTTCCTTCTGCTGTAAGCCCCAAGGCTCGCCGAAAAAAGCAGCTCCACACCTTAGCAAGCCCAGGTACGCATGTGATGCTCGCAAAACTATGGTTCTACATTGACTCAATAAAGAAGCAGCCTACAAAACCCTAAACCCTAAGCCCTAAGGGTTTCGTTAAAAACGACAGAAGAACTTACTGCTTGCCGCAGGCTGGTTCAACCAGGAGGCTCCGGCGGAGGACTCCGCAAGGGGGAACTCTGCGTGAAGTGAAAAATGCCCCCGGGGGGGGGGGGGGGGCAAGGGGCAAAGAGCCCCAAGGGCCCCAAAGACTCAGCAAACACCCCCCCTTAAAGCTATTCATCGATTCCCATGAAGTTGGAAACTCTCTTTCCCATGTCAACCTTTAGCTAAACATCTTGGAAACTCCATGGCTCATCCCGACACTCTAGGGTTTCAACACTCGAATCTTCAGTTCTGAGCTTGAGGAGGTTCTGGGTCACGGCTTGGGCTCCCCTTGCCGGATCCATCCGGGCTCTACGGCACTCTGAGACCAAACGCCCCCTGACCCAGCCCCCAAGTTCAAAGCCGAGACCCGCTCTACACTAAGCCACCCCCCTGGAGGAGTGCAGCAGCCCACCTGTCATGGAGGGGCTGAGGCTCATCTTCCTGCAAGAAGCGGGAACAGAGAGGCAGAGGAAGGAAAGGCAAAGCTCAGAAATCGGGAGCTTACTTTTGCTTCAAGCGCCACGTTCGGATGGAAAACCCCATTAATCGGGCCAAGACTAGTGCCCTCAGTAAGCTTAAACTGGTGGTTCACAGGTGTTGAGAGTTGTTAGGAGGACCTAAGCCTTCGACAGCCCGTGTCAGCTTTCTAAGGTAGCCAGAGCTTCGACGGTCATGCTCGCAGCTAGAAGGGCTCGCGGGTACCAGAAGTCCCTGCCCGGCATCTGTGCTTCTTGAGACCTCCAAACCCGAAGCCTTAAACACTTCCACTTATGCGGCCCCTGTCTTGCCCATACCTCTTCAAGCACTTCGAAGCCGGAGCCTAAAGCCCTACAAAGCCCTACAGCCCTCCGGGCCCCCGTCCGGGCCCCCAAACACCCGAAATCCGAGCTCTCCCCCGGGCCAGGACGCTGACGCCGGGAGAGGCGCAGGCGACGGAAAGACGTCGTTTTTTGGAGCTTTCCAAAGACTTGGGGTGGGGTTTCTATACGAAGCACTCTCCGATGTCGGGAGACTCGGATTTCGTGTTGTTCGGGTGTTTTGGGTCGCCACGACTTCGGAGGTCTCTTCATGTAAGATGGGAGCACATGAGGGCAGCTGGCCCTGCATGTGCTGCAATCATAGCCATCTTTCCAAATCACGGCAACTTCGAAAACACCCGTCTCCGTACCTCCCCAAGTTTGCGGAAGCTCCAAAACCCAAACCTGGCAGCCGATAATTCGGGAGCACCTACCCGACCTACCCGAACTCCCTGCGCCCAAAGCCGTGTCTTGCAAGGAGGCTGCTGAGCGGGCTCGACGGAGGAGTGGCAAGGCTTGTACAAAGGGTCACTATACGGCACTATTACCATTCATGGTCGAGGGTTATGTCGAGGGTTATGGCAAGGCTTATTCTCCAAAGGTTACTATGAGGGGGTACTTTATGATATGATATAAGTTTATCAACAGGCTACTATTTCCGATTGCAGGGTATTTTTGTGTATTGAGTCCTTAGCTTTTAGGCTTTAGGTGTTGGGCTTCAGGGTTGCGTGAGCCTTCAAGCATTGGGTTTCAGATTCTGTGATTTAACGGAACCGATGGTGGAAACTAGTACTTGGTTTATCGCAGGCGAGGTCCTTGCTCACGCCCGATCTCTTGCAAATGCTGGGAACTTTTGACCTAATGCATATCCACTGAAGGCCCGAAGACCTAATCCCTGAACTGTACAGAGGCTTATAAATCAGGCAGAGCTGAACCCGGCAAAGCAATAACTTAGCCATCTAAAATTTAGACACCCTGTGAACTGTACGAACCCTTTGAAAGACTTCCTGCAAAGCTGATGAGCCCTAAAAAACACCACAAGCCTGACAAATTCTGAAGCCGAGCAAATTGAACGAACATGCCCTAAGAAGCCTTAATCCTCCCCGAAGCTGTAACCCTGCAAATACGGAGTAGTTACCGAAGCTGCTGCACCTGGACCAAAACCACCATTGATGCAACGAAAGCAACACCCAAAGCTTCCGTAGGTGCCCAGTGCCGAAGAGCCCCTCCTGGCACCCGACCTTGCACCGGAAGGCCCTCCCCCAACTTCCTCTAAGGGCTATACGGCTGAGGCTCGCAAAGTGTGGCTCCGGAGTAGAGGTTGAGAGGGGTGTCGCTGGTGATGGGGTGTGGTCTTGGGATGTGTTCAAAACTGTGTTTTGTTTTCGTCTTTGGTTGTGCATCCGCATGGCGTGTGCTTAGCTGGGGTGAGGCAATGTGGCTGCGTCCGGCGTTAACATCATCTGTCTTTTGTTGGGGGTGAAGAACGGGCACTTTTTGCTGACACGGTGCCTCCAAGAAAACCAGGAAGTCCAGCACTGATATCTTCTGGCTTCATGCGGGTCACGCATGGACGCTGGGGAGTGGGGTCGTGATTTCCTCGCTCCCGGCACTTGCGCATGTCTTCCATGTTGCCACAGAGGATGCAGAGTACGAGAGAAAATGATGATTCCCAATTACATTGGAGTCACTGCAGCCATGAAACCGCAAGATCCGATAACAAGACTTTTTCAAGCCAAAGGTTGGATCTCCAGAAAGGGCCCGCATGGCCGGTACCACTGGCCGAACCGGCGGCTTTTGAATTGCGTGTTGCGCCGGGTCAGAATTTGGATTCTGCGTTGGCATAGGCCCGGGTTAAGGTTGTTGTGCAGAGGGTTTGGGTTCGGGTTGTCCTGTAATGCGGGTTCCTTTTCGCTGTTTAGATAAAAAGCCTGCGGTTCAATGTTGAGGGACGGGATGAAGGTGCTTGGGGTGCGAAGGCGATTTTGAATTGAATTTGCGGCTTAAGGGGCAGGGCCAAGAGCTTAGGGCTTTGTTTCGCAGCTTGGGGAACTAATGTTATGTGACGGCCACAGTCCACGCACTTGAAAGTGCTTGTTTCCTGCAAGGTAGAGAGCGCAGCAGCGTGAACGATGTACTTTGGGGCTCAATCTGACGGGTGGTCGGAGTCCGCAACCGAAACTTCAATAGAAAAAGGCTTGTGCCAACCATTGCGGGTTGTGTAGACTGCTAGAGGTCTCAGAACGCTACGAACCCCGGACCCGAAAAGTCAAAGTCCAAGGCTGCAGAACCTTTTGGCCTCCGTCCCTCATCTGCGCCAAACATCATTCCGCTTGACTGCTTTCTGGCAGCAGCTGCAAAGGCCGACTTGAAAACGCGTCGAAGACCTGTGGACGGATGTTTTTCATTCGTCTTATTCTCTGATTCGCTTGCTTGAGGGCGCTTTGCCGGCCTGGCACTGGTCCACCGGGCCTTTGCCGGCACTGGAAAGCGTTAGAGTCCTCAACTCCTCAATCCTAGAAACCCCCAAAAATGCTGATTTCAACCTTCCAAAAAAAGGCCACCAAGGAACCAAAGCGCCTAAGAAGGCCCTAAAAGCCTAAACCCCTGAACCCCCTAAGCTCCCGGCCAGGCATCACCGATCTCTGGGGCCGGCTCCCTGGGAGGCACAAGTCTCTTTCGGTGCCAGATTCTTCTCTGTGGACAACTTGAGTTTATGAGCGAAAAAATGATAGTATATTCGTAGTCTATAGGAAATTTCAGCATGTTACCGTAGATGATCGGATATTCTCAGTTATAGTCTATCATATTCGGAGCTTCCTTTTTCGGGCGGGACCTAAAACAGGGCACTGTGTATTTCTCAAGCTCTCATCTCCAAGTGGACTGCCGTGTCTTGCAGAGGGGTTTGGTGAGGCTTTGGGGCGTTTGGCATTTGGTTTCAAACGTGTGGAACTGAAGCTTACGGAGTTTACGGGGTTCGGTGTAGTAGGTCTTGGGCTTGGGAGCTGGGCTTGGCGGTTTGCATCCAGCACTTGCTGGTTCCATGTCCGGCTTGATTTTAGGGCCATGTCAGCCATCACGAGACTCCTGTGACTGTTGAGGGCTTCGGGGAGTTCGAGCCTGGCCGACTTGAGAAATGCAAAGCTATTCAGGAATTTAGGTGTGAGTGTTTAGTAGGCAACCTGGGTGCAAGGGCAGCCTGCGGCGGGAGTTCCAAACAGCCCAAGAGGCCCTTCGCTCCTTGGCTTGGGGTAGTCGGTAGTCTGATCTTGGAAGCCACAACTCGGCATACCATGCGAACCTTGACCGACTCT